CCCCGCGGTCTCCCCCCACCTCCGCCCCGCGGTCTCCCCCCACTCTGCCCCGCGGTCTCCCCTCCCTCCGCCCCGCGGTCTCCCCTCTCTCTCTCTCCATCCTCTGTCTCTCAGGGTCCTTTTCTCTGCCACCCCCCCCCCCACCTCGTTCTCCGTGGCTCCACTGTTTCATTTCCATCAGGGCCCCCTTTTAGGGTGGCAGCCCCAGCTGTCACCAAAGGAGGACAGCCCTGTCAGAGGTACCCCTGCATCTCCCCTCCCAGACCCTCTGCTTCCTGCTCAGTGTCTGTCTGTCCGTCTCTGCTCACATCTCTCTCGGCCAGTCAGCCCTGGCCTCGCTATGTTTATTTGTAATATCGACAACCAGACACCCACTTAGTAAACACTCACTGTCTCCCAGGAGCTGCTATTCATCCTGTTGAATGCTCACAACTTTAGAGTTAAGGAGTTCCACCCTCACCTGACAAACAAGGAAACTGAGGCCCCGGCAGGCAGTGTTTCAGTGCCCCATGCGACCCCCCCACCTCCAGGCCCCTCTGGGGTGTCTGCCTGGGCCTCCCTGCCCGCTGCTCTCAGGGCCACCCCGTCCCTGCACCCCAGGCACTCACCTCAAAGAGACCCTGCCGCTTGCTCAGGCTGCCCCCCTCCAGGCTCCAGAAGTAGATGTGAGATTTGCCGCAGGTGATGAGCACGGTGGGGTCCGTTGGGTGGAAGGTGGCCACCAGCACAGCCTCATTGGAGCACTTCGCGGGTGGGAGAGACTCTAAATGAAGATCTCAAAGCCACCAGGGCCACTACACCCAGCCCACACAGGATGGCCCTATACAGCTGTGTGGGCTGTGCACTGGTACATCCTACTACTCCCACCCTTCCTATGTAGGCAAATCAGAGAACCGAAGGCAGGACCACCAGTAATGCATTATCATCTTCTTCATTGCCAGACACTTCTAGAGCCCCTGCTCTGGGCCGACTGCCGTGCTAAGCACTTTACGGTCATGAACACGTGTAATCCTCACAACGGGAGGCAAGGCCCATTTAAAAAAAGACAAAACAGTTGCCACTGTGTCAATTCTGACTCGTGACAACTCAATGTGTGTCAGAATAGAACTGCGCTCCATAGCGTTTTCAATGGCTAATTTTTCAGAAGTACATAGCCAGGCCTTTCTTCCAAGGTGCCTCTGGGTGGACTCAAACCTCCGACCTTCTGGTTTGCAGCTAAGCCTGTTAACTGTTTGCACCACCCAGGGACTCCAAGGCCCATTACTGCCCTCCTCTTACAAATGAAGAAGCTGAGGCTCAGAGAGGCAAAGTCACTTCCCTAAAACCACACACCCAGATAAGAGTCACGTTCAGAATTGAATTCACCCCCGTCTGACTCCAGACCCCAGCCTCTCAACCACTCCCCCTTCCCCAAGCAGTGCGCCCAGATCTAGAAACTAGGTCTCCTGCCCCCATCCCAGGCCGTAAAATAGGCCACCAGCCCAAAGAGGCAAGTCAAGGTTTGTCTCGGATGCCACAGGAATGTAGAGTTAGCAGCTGCCTTGTACTGAGCCTTCTGCTGGGCCTGCTCTACCCATCCCCCATCCCCAACATCCTCACCAAGGCCCCATGAAGAAGGTGCTACATAATCCCATTTTTCAAATGAGACAACTGAAGCTCAGAGAGGGTAAGCCATTGCCCAAAGTCACACAGCGAGATAATGTAGTTCATAAAGTTATGTTCTACATCCCAGTTTGGTGAGTAGTGTCTTGGGTCTTAAAAAGCTTACGAGCAGCCATCTAAGACACAATTATGGGTCTCTACTCCTCTGGAGGAAACTCTGGTGGCGTAGTGTTTAAGAGCTATGGCTGCTAACCAAAAAGTTGGCAGTTCAAATCCACCAGGCACTCCTTGGAAACCCTGTGGGGCAGTTCTACGCTGTCCTATAGGGTCGCTATGAGTCGGAATTGACTCCACGGCAACGGGTTTGGTTTTTGTTTTTTTACTCATCTGGAGCAAAAGAGAAGAAGGAAACCAAAGATTCAAAGAAGAAACTAGTCTACAGGACTAACTGCCTACATGAACCACGGCCTCATCTAACCTGAGACCAGAACTAGATGGTGCTCAGCTACCACTACTGACCGTTCCAATCAGAGCCACAACAGATGGACCCTGACAGAATGGGAGAAAAACATAGAACAGAACCTCAAATGCCTAAACAAAAAAAAACAGACCTACTGGACTGGTTGAGACCGGAGGACTCCTGGAGACCACTGCCCCGAGATACTCCTCAAACGCTGAAGTGAAACGAACCCCTGAGGTCACTTCGCAGCTAAATAACAAATTAGCTCAAAAAATGAGTGTCACCTCTAAGTACTGTGCTCCTTTAAAAAAAATCACCTACACGAAACCAACTGATCAACAATTACTCTAAAACAAAGACGAGAATGTAAGGGGGCAGGGGAACTAGATTAATGGAAATACAACAACCAGAATGGAAATAATGAGAATGTTCAAGCATTGTGAAGAATGTAACCAATGTCACTGGACAACTTGTGTAGAAATTGTTGAGTGGGAACCTAAACTGCCTGGTAAAACTTCACTGAAAGCAAAATAAATTTTTTTTTTTTTTTTAAAGTCATAGGGCCAGCAAATGGCAAAAGCCAGGAGTAGAACCCAGGTCTGTCTGCTTCCAGACTCCTAACCACTGAGACTGGGCAAGTCCCACAGGGGCACCCCAGGGAGACGGAACGAGAACAGTGACCCTACCTTGACATCAACCACCTTGACCTCCTTGGCCCAGTCCCACACAGACAGCATGTGGTCATTGGATTCGTCCACTGCACAGAGCAGGTTGCCCCCATTCTATAAAAGAGGAGATGAGGGGAGGGGTCAAGGGGGTCAGGGTTGGTCCCCCCACCATCACACCACCCAGCGCTTTAAACGCTCTGAAACATGTTCAAATACACTCCCATTCAGATACTAGAAAACCATTTGAGAAGGTTTTTATAATTTTCCTTTTGCAATAATTCCTCCACAGAAACTCATCTAATTTACCCTCTGCCATCATTCAGAGTTAGGAATTCTAGCTGTGTGACCATCTAACCTCCATGTTAATATGAAATGAAGCTTTTACGTATCTGTAATCAAGCAAAACATTTCGTATAACACTGACTTTTTTTGTATTGTCATTAGGTGCCATTGAGTTGATTCCGACTCATGGTGACCCCATGTGACAGAGGAGAACTGTCCCTCCCGTAGGGTCTTCTAGGCTGTAATCTTTACAGGAGCAGATTGCCAGGTCTTGGTCCCTCAGAGCTGCTGGGTGGGTTCAAACTGCCAACCTTTCGGTTAGCGGCTGAGCTTTTAACCACTGCACCACCAGGGCTCCTTGATTTTTTTAATACCTTTAGTTAAATTTAGGTTAATTTTGATTTTGCAGGGTTTTCGGGTTTTTCCCCCCAAGCTCTTAAATGTCTCCTTTAGGCTTCAGGAAACCTCTGGGGCCCTAATTCAGTACTTCTTAAACTGTCGGTGGGAAAAGACCAATCCATCACAGACCAGTACTTTTGTAAAATGTGACAATAAAAAAAGGCATACAGCATCAATTACAACCCCACAAATCTCACATGCAGATGTTGCCACAATGTCAAATTGCCCTACTAAAGGTTTAATCTCATTTTCTGTATGTATCTACAACAAGCAAACACTGAGGTGTTGGGGCAAATGAGGACGAACGCCCCCCACACCCAACAACGGCTAACAGGGCAGGCTGTGACGTCACAAACATGAGAGAGCGGTCCCGGAGGGCCTGGATTCTACCAATAGGCGTGGCCTGTATCTATGACATCACGTGGAGGCGGGGCCTCGAGCTCCAGTTCAGCGGAGGGCACACGACTTACAGATTTGGAGAAGCCCACACAGCACACGGCTCTGTCAAACACCCCCAGGCCTAGCAGGTGTAAGGTGGAGAGGGAAACTGAGTCCCAGATGCGCACATGGGGCGGCAGCGGCTGCAGGAAAGAAAGATGCCTGTTACCTGGCGGAGGCGAAGGAGGGGAACCTAGCTCCTTACCCCAAACCACTGCCCCCCGCCGCCCCGCCCAGTCTCCCGGCCCTGCCCCCTCTTTTTCTGCTTGCACCCTTCCACTCCATTACCTTCCCCTCCTTAGTGGTGCCCGCCATCTGTCCGGTGGCAATGGTGACCATATCCGGGTGGACAGCCATGCTGGCGGGAGAGGGGGCAGATGGAGAGTGTTCAGCAGGAGGGAGGACTCTTGAGGTCCAAGACCCCTCCCACAGCAGGTGGCACTCACGCGGCTAGGTTATTCATGCCACAAGGTGGTTTATTGAGTTATTTAGTCAATAGTCATTAAGTTAGTTCTTCAGTTCCCAGTAAGAGGATATCCTCTGGGTAGTCCAGCTAGCGGCCAGACCCAGGCCTGGGGCGACTAATCCAAATGCCTGCAGGGCCTAGGCCAGGAGCAGGAAGCCATTTAAAGGGGCTGCTACCAAAATGTAAAACTTAAAAAAAAAAAAAAAAAAAATTATTTTAATTAAAAAAATAAAGGGGCTGCTGCCACCACTCCAACTCACTGTCTGGAGTGCCCGCTCAGAGTTTTCAAAAAAAGAAAAATTCACCAACATTCGAAATATTAACAATATACTGCGTTGTTTTTTTTTCTGAGTTCGGCCTGAAATTAAGCAAAGGTATGGCCCCACCCCTCCACTGTGGTGATGTGGAAACAGGTCTAGTCGGGGCCCTGAGCTAGAGCTCTCTCAGGTCCCCTCCCTAGGGTGGGGTCCCCAGCTGGCAGGGCTGAGCCAGGCCTCACCATTTGATGTCATCGTTGTGGCCGAGGTAGTGGCGCTGCCTCTGCTCCTCCACGCTGTACAACACGGCCACAGAGGCTACAAAGTACACTATCTCCCCCGTGGGCAGCAGGTAAAGGTTGGCCCGGCAGTCTCGGCCTCGGTACCCATAGCTGGAGCCGCCCAGGGGCTGGTTAAGGAGCCTGTTTGGCAATGCACCAGGACTTCCAGGCTGGCTGACTACCTGATTCAACGATGTCATCGGAATTAGGTCTCCCTGCTCCCACTCTTAAGGAGCCCCAGTGGCACAGTGGTTAAATGCTTGGCTGCTAACGAAAGGTGGGTGGTTGGAACCCACCAGCAGCTACAGGGAAGAAAGATGTGGCAGTCTGCTTCTGTAAAGATTTACAGCCTACTGGGGCTGGGTCCTGGGGACCATAGTTTCAGGGGACATCTAGGTCAACTGACGTAACATAGTTTATAAAGAAAACATTCTACATCCTGCTTTGGTGAGTGGCATCTGGGGTCTTAAAAGCTTGCAAGCAGCCACCTAAGATAAATCAATTGGCCCCATCCCACTCACTGCAAAGGAAAACCAAAGACACACAGAAAATACTAGCCCAAAGGACTAAAGGACCAAATTAACCAGAGATTCCATCAGCCTGAGATCAGAAGGACCAGATGGTGCCCGACTACCACCAATGCCCGCCCTAACAGGCAACACAACACACAGTCCCGGACAGAGCAGGAGAAAAATGTAGAACAGAACTCAAATTCACATAAAAAGACCAGACTTAATGGTCTGACAGCCTAGAGGAACCCCCAAAACTATGGACCCCAGATGTGCTGTTAACCCAGAACTGAAATCATTCCCAAAGCCCACTCTTCAGACAAAGATTAGACAGGACTATAAAACAAAAAATAATACAGTGAGAAATGTGCTTCTTAGTTCATCAGATACACGAGACCAAATGGGTAGCTCCTGTCCAAAAGCAGGATGCGAAGGTAAGAATGTATAGGAACTGGTCGAATGGACACAGGGAATCGGGATGGAAAGGAGGAGCGTGCTGTCCCATTGTGGGGATTGCAGCTAATGTCACAAAACAATATGTGTATAAATTTTTGAATGAGAAATTAACTTGAGCTGTAAACTTTCAACGAAAGCAGAATTTAAAAAAAGAAGAAGAAGAAAAGATTTACAGCCTAGAAAACGCTATGGGGCAGTTCTATTCTGTCCTAAAGTGGTGCTGAGTAGGAATCCATTGGACAGAAATGGGTTTGGTTTTTTGGCTTGGCTGCCCCCCTTATCCCCTGTAGGGAGTTGAATAGTGGACCCTCAAAATATGTCTGCATCTTAACTCCCGAAATCTGTGAATGTGACCCTTATTTGGAAAAAGGGTCTTTGAAGATGTAATTAAGTTAAGGATCTCAAAATGAGGTCATCTTGGATTATTATCCAAACCCCCAAAAAAACCCATTCCGACTCATAGCGACCCTATAGGACAGAGTAGAACTGCCCCATAGGGTTTCCAAGGAACAGCTGGTGGATTTGAACTAATGACCTTTTGGTTAGCAGCCAAATGCTTAACCACTGGGTCACCAGTGCTCCGATTGTATCCAGGTGGGACCTAAATTCAGTGGTAAGTATCCAAATAAGAGACAGAAAAGACGACATAGACACAGAAGAGAAGGCCATGCTTCGTGAGTCTATCCAGTCAATCGGCCTGACATTGTTTTAAGTTTCTGTTCTATCTCCTAGTTCAGTGACTAGTGCCTGGGGTTTTTAAAGCTTGCTAGTGGCCACCCATTGCATTGGGCAAATCTGCTGCAAAAAACCTCTTTAAAGTGTGAAAAAGCAAAGATGTCACCTCGAAGACTAAGATGCACCTGACCCAAGCCATGGTGTTTTCAATTGCCTCATATGCATGTGAAAGCTGAACAATGAATAAGGAAGACCGAAGAATAATTGATGCCTTTGAATTGTGGTGTTGGTGAAGAATATTGAATATACCATGCACTGCCAAAAGAACAAACAAATCTGTCTTAGAAGAAGTACAGCCAGAATGCTCCTTAGAAGCAAGGATGGTGAGATTTCGTCTCACACACTTTGGACATGTTATCAGGAGGGATCAGTCCCTGGAGAAGGACATCATGCTTGGTAAAGTAGAGGGTCAGTGAAAAATCGGAAGACCCTCAACAAGATGGACTGACGCAGTGGCTGCAACAATGGGCTCAAGCATAACAACAATCGCAAGGAGGCGCAGTACCGGGCAGTGTTTCATTCTGTTGTACATAGGGTCACTGCAAGTCGGAATTGACTTGACAGCACCTAACAATGACAGTGGCCACCCAAGATACGATAATTGGTATCTATACAACTGGAACAGCAGAAGAAGAAAAAGACCCAGGAATTGGAGAAGGAATTGGACTGCAGGTTTAACAGCCTCCATAAACTGCTACCTCCACTACCATGAGACCAGAAGAAATGGATGGTGCCTGGCTACCATTACTGAACGTTTTGATCAAGGACCCAACAAATGGATCCTGATCAAAAGGAGGGTAAACGTGGAACAGAACTTCAAACTCATATAGAAACCAGACTTACTGGCCGCATTGAGACTGGGGGAACCCTCTAAACTAATGCCCGGAAATAATCTTTAAACTTTGAACCAAAACTATCCCGTGAAGCCACTGTTAACCTAAACAACAGTTTAGCCCAATTAATAAAAAATGTTTGCCCTTAGCATAGCGCTCATAAAGAATTATCCATATGAGCTTAATCTGACAACAGTTTATCTAAAACACAGATGAGAACTTTAAGAGGCAGAGAGCCTAAATTAATAGTGATGAAACAATATGGGTAGAGATAGTGATAATGGTGACACAATGTGAAGTATGTAACCAATGTTATTGAACTGTGCTTGTAGAAATTGTGAATAGACATACAGTCATGGGCCACATAACATCCATTCAGGCAATGTCCAACCACATATACGTCTGGTGGCCCCATAAGGTTATAATAGAGTTCAGAAATCCTGACTGGAGAACAGGACGTAGTGGACATACCCAGACGCAGGGGACGTAGTGAATGCAACAGCCTCCCGCATGCAACACATGTATACCATGTGTCTTGTATACAAAGCAATTGTGCTGCCAGGCATATAGTGGTACAGTATATAGATGACCTATAACATGTCTTGACAGTCACAATGAACGCCTATGTTACTGCCTTCTGTATGTACTATACTGTACTTTCTATCGTTATTTTAATATGAACTTTCCCTACTTACAAATAAAAAGTTTACCGTTTAACAGTATATGCTGCCTATGTCTCATAGGCAGCAGCATTCAATCTCATGTATCATGTGTCTCTTGAGTGTTGTAGCATTATCTGTTTAATTTTCTTTTGAAAATATTACCGTGAAGTGCATCATGGCTCCCAAATGCAGCAAAACCAGTGCTTGTGATAGCAGAAGCAAGAGGCAAAGGAGAAGCATCGATTTGGAAGTGAAACAAAAGGTATCCAATATAGCTTTGCTAAGTATATAATATGGTGTTCGCACAACGTCCAAATCACATAACATTCTACTTCACAGAACATACTGTGGACATTAAACTACGTATGGCTGTATATTAAAAAAAAAAAAGAAGCAGCCCATGTGAGGATGGAGGCAGAAATTGGAGGGATGTGGATGTAAGTCCAGAAACACTAAAGGTTGCCGGCAGTCACCAGAAGCTAGGAGACAAGCATTCAACTAATTCTTCCCCAGAGCCTCTGGAGGGATTGTGGGCCTGCCAACACCTTGATTTTGGACTTCTGGCCTCCAAAACTGTCAGAGGATAAATTTTTGCTGTTTTCAGCCACCCAGTTTATAGTAATTGTTACAGGGGCCACAGCAAACAAATAGACTCTCCATAGCCCTCAGAACAGCCAGAAAAATCCCATTAAAACCTGTTACCACCTAAGTCAACTCATCTCCATCCAGCGCCAGCCACACTAGCCTCCACCATCCTCCATGTTCTCACCTCAGCGCCTTCGCACTTGCTGTTCCTTCTACCTGAATGCTCTTCCCTCTGATCACTCCATGGCTCGCTCACCTCCTTCAGGTTTCTGCTCAACTGTCAGCTATTTAAAACTGCAAACCCACTGCCACTGTCCCCCATCCCTGCTTTATACTCCTCCAATGCACTTAACAGCAGCCAACATGCTATCAACTTAACTTATCTTGGTGACTATCAGTTTCCTCCACTAGAGAGTCAACTCCAGGTGGGCAGGGATTTTTAACCATTTTGTTCAGGGTCTGGTATACAGCAGATACTGAGTTCAATACCTGTTGAAGGAAAGGCTGTCCCTCCTCTGCTCAGAACTTTCTATGGCTCCCCAGTGCTCCTAGGAGGAAGTCTAAGCTCCTCCCACTGGCCTAATGATCCTGCCCCCTTCCTAGCCTTAGTCAGGCTCCTGCCTGCTCTTTCTCTCTGATCTCAGAGTTCCTCAAAACGTCCAGATCATTACTGCTACCCTAGGCCTTGGCAAGAACCTCTTCCTTTGCATAATACACTCCACCCGCCACCCTTTTCAGTTATCACCTCCTCAGAGCAGCCCTCGGACTCACTTCCTCCATGGTACTTATCCCATTCAGTAATTATCTAGTTTATCTGTTAACTGTCCATATGCCTCAATTAGACTGTGCGGTTCATGATAGCTGAGACTGGGATGTTTTGTTCACTTCTGTGTCTCCTCCAGGAAGCCCTCCTTGATGCCCCGGCTGGGTAAGCTACCCCCTCAGAACTCGCCCAGCCTCCTGGGATCCACCATCTCAGCCCTGCCTACTCTGCGCCATCACTGGGGACAGGTATGTATGTGTTCCCACTGGACTGTGAACCCCATGAGGGCAGGGTCAAGGCTGTCAAGGTCATTGCTGTGTCCCCAGCCCTCCACCCCAGTAGATGTTCCGAAAAGATTTGCATGTCATTGTGAATATCTCAACCCCACAGAAACTGCTCTACCCTTCCGCCATTTTAGAGACGAGGGGAACTGAGGTCCACAACGATTTTTGTAGTCTCAGCTGCCTCTGATTTGATGCTTATCAAGCCCAGCCTGGCACAACAGCTTGGCCTGTTTCCCAGAATATTTCCAGCTGCCGACTCTGGGCTTGCAGAAGGCCAGGCCTTTCACTAACTTCCCTGTCTCCTCCAGAGCAGTCACCAAGGCCCAGAGAGAGACGCAAGCAGGGACTGGGACCTTGGGTTGCTGACTTGAAGCCCACTGGGCTCTTTCGAAAAAGCTTGGGACCCAGAGCCAGAGGTTCTTGCCTCAGATCTGCTCCAGCTCCCTAGGACAGGGCCCAGTCCACTCTCTTGGTCTCAGTTTCCTCATCTGGAAAGTGGGGGTAATTGCCAACCCGCTAAAGAGAGCTCTCAAAAGATGCTCGTTGTGAAAATATATTCTCAATTCTATGAAAGAGAAGGATTGTATTATTCAACGTACTCATACACAAAAGAGCTTAGAACAGTGCCTGACTTATAGAAAGTGCTCGATAAAGATTGTTGTTGTTAGCGGCCATTGGGTCAGCCCCTGACTCATAGCAACCCCATGTGTTATAGAGCAGAATTGCTCCATAAGGTTTTCTTTGCTGTAATCTTTATGGAAGCAGTTTGCCAGGCTTTGCCTTTGCAGAGCCACTGGCTGGGTTTGAACTGCCAACCTTAGGTTAGCAGCTGTTCCCAAACCACTTGTACCACCCAGGCTCCTTCCACAAAGATTACTTATTTTATCAGTTCCTGTTTATGGGCACATATTATAAGCTCAGCACCTTTACACATTATCGCATAATCCTATGGGTCTGAGATCCTGAAAGCCATTTTTCAGAAGAGGGAACTGAGGCTCAGAGAGGCAAAGTGACTTCTCCAGGGTCACACAGCCAGCCAGAGGCTAGGCTGGGGCCCAAAGTCACTTCTGTCAGTCTCTAAAGCCAGAGCTCTTACCAATTACTAACTTCTTGGCACAGTGGTTAAGAACTCGGCTGCTAACCAAAAGGCTGGCAGTTCAAATCCACCAGCCACTCCTTGGAAGCCCTATGGGGCAGTTCTACTCTGTCCTATAAGGTCACGATAAGTTGGAATCAACTCGACAGCAACAGGTTTGGTTTTTTTGGTTTCTGTTTCTCAAATACACTAAGCTCACTCCAGCCAAGGACCCTTGCACCTGCTGTGCCCTGTGCCTAGAACACATTCCTTCCAGTTCTTTCCATGCCATTCCTAACTGTTTAGTTCTCAGCTCAAATGTTCCCTCCTCAGAGAAGCCCGGCTACTCTCCTCACGTGACCTTAAAATTCCTGTCTTCCCAGTGTTTGCCAGTAACTGAAATTATCTTGTTGATTTAATCACAGGCTTCTGTGTTACCATCTGACTCCCCGTTCTAGAAGGTAAGCTCCATGAAGAACACAGCTTGCACCCAGAAGAGAATCTGACATATGGAAGGCGTTCAGTAAACATGTACTGCATTAACGAACCATAAAAGGTCATTTTGGCCAATCTGCTTTCCTCTGCTCTCTTCAGAGCCAGGGTCTTCCTGGCCCCTCAGCTACAGAGGCCTGGAAGTCCTGCCTCAGTACAGAGTCCCTCCCTCCTGCAGCCCCACACTGAAGTGCTTCTGTCCTCCTGACTTAGGGGGTTTTTGTTGTTCGGTGCCGTCAAGTCGATTTTTCGGCTCAGCGACTCCATGTTAAAAACTAAAACTGCCGCACAGGTCTTCCTAGGCTGTGGACTCTTTACCGGAGCAGATCACCAGATCCTTCTCCCTCAGAGCAGCTGGGTGGGTTCTAACCGCCAACCTTTCGGTTAGCGGCTGAGCACTTAACCCTGTGCCACTAGGGCTCCTTACTTGGGGCGGGGGGAGGGGGGCGGGAACCAAAAAAACCAAACCAGCTGCTGTCCAGTCAATTCCGACTCATAGCTACCCTATAGGACAGGGCAGAACTGCCCCATAGGGCTTCCAAAGCTGTAATTTTTATAGAAGCAGACTGCCACATCTTTCCCCGCCGGAGCCGCTGGTGGGTTCGAACAGCCTACGACCTTTCGGGTTAACAGCCAAGCACTTAACTCTTCCATCACCAGGGCTCCTTACTTGGTGGGGGGGGGGAGGGGCAGAGAGGGATTAAAACAAAAGGATACACCCAGTCCAGCTTGAGCCGGCAGGCAGGCAGCTCTGAGCGCGTGTCCAGGCTGTAGGTGGGCGCCAGCTCGTCAGGAATCAGCATGGGCACAGGGCGGCCCCTCAGGAACATTTTCACGGAGCCCTCCTCTGCCGGGACACCCCCAGAATTCAGGCGCAGACATCAGCCCCCATCCCCATTCCCTCTCCCCTTCAGGCTGCACCTTTTTTTTTTTTCTAAACAGGTGGGGAAACTGAGGCCAGAGAGGCCAAGACCCGGTAGCCAGGTCTCTGGATCTCCAGCTCCCGTGCTCAACCCAGCAGGCCCCCAACTGAGCCCCTCCCCCTCTCCCCACTCACCCAGGCTGAAGATAACTTCTTTGGTTTTGCTGCCAGGAAAGGCCAAAAAAAAGAAAAGAAAAAAAGTGACTTAGGGGACGGGACTGAAAAGAGGAGAAACCACTCCCCACCCCCACCCCCAGCGTTTCCCCGAGGTTTCCGATGAAGCTTGGGACCGCGGAAGGAGCGGGAGCGGAGCGCTGGCTCTCTGCAGGCCGTGTGCTTTGCTCGGTTGAGCGTGCAGAGCCTAAGACACAGGCCCAGAGAGGCAGTGATCGCCCAAGATCACACAGCACGAAGTGGTAGGGACACGATCCTGCAAAAGAAGAGTCACCAGGGACCCCTCCCTCCTAATAGGCACGACGGGCCCCCCTCTGCGCTCCCCACCCCCAACCCCCCAGCGCCCCAAACTAAGCAGCAAGGGACGAGGTGAAGGTTTAAGGGAAGGGGCGTGTCTCTACATTCTCGCCGTCAGCGGAAAAGGGTGAACTCTCGCCGGCCTGGGTCTCTGGAGAGAGGGAGACCTGGGGTGCAGGCCCCGGGAGTAAGGGGAAGTGGGGGGGGTCTGCGAAAGGGTCTCACCCAGGTCCAAAGCTACTCATGGCGGCGGCTGGCGGAGCTTCGGGGCCGGGGGTGGAGCTGGGATCGGCTCCGCCGCTTCCGGCCCTGGGAGGCGCCGCGCCGCCCACCCGGGCCGGGTCTCCGTGGCCAAACCCGGGAGCGGATGGGTCATACCCGGTCCCACATCCCAGGCTATGGGATCCTGATACCAGGCTCTTTTGAGGGAGCATGGTGGTTGAGAGCACGGCCTCAGGAGTGCACCTGCCTCAGTTAAAATCTCAGTTCTGCCACTTCCAAGCTGTGTGGACAAGTTGCCCACCCCCTCCCTGCCTCAGTTTCCTCATTTTAAAAATGGTAAGATTATCTACCTCCTGGGTAGATTGCTGCGAGGATTAAATTGATTAAGGCATGTAATGTGCCTAGAGTAGTCCCTGGCACATAGCACTATATATATGTTTGCTTTTATTTTAGAGGAGTTGCAAAGCGTGGTTTTCGACCCTGGACCTCCTTACTCCCGCCCAGTCGCCAAGCCCTGACCACGCCCATTGCATCAGGTCTCCACCCTTACGTTTTGACTCCGCCCAGACGTTTAGTATGGCCCCGCCTCCGGGTAGTTGACCACGCCCAACATTCTGATCACATCCAACTCCTCCTTCTGACCTTGCCCCTGAGTTGGGTCTCTCTCCGTAGTTGACCGCTCCCTTCGGCCCCCGCCCCTGCTCTGGCCCCACTAGCCACTCTGACCACGTCCATTTTCACGTGGCACAGTTCCCGGTTGAGACGGCTCTCCCTTATGAGATTTGACCAAGCTTACCAATGGCCCCACCCAACCTTCAAACTGGGCCCGTTTCTGCCCGGCAGGGCACCTGCGATTGGACACGCCCCCATCTGGTCTCAGCTTCCATGACCACCACCCAAGGGCTGATTATCCAATGGGCGAGGTAAGCACGGTGCTTACCTTGTTTACCATATCATCTGTAGTGAACAATTTCACATTTTTTTCACCACATCAAAGATTCTGCTTCTAGGTATGGCTGCCACCTGTCTCTCTCCCAACCCCACAGCACCTTTCTACAGAATCAAAGCCTCTTTTCAAATTTACAATCCCCGACAGGGACGGAAGACCCGGTAAGCAAGGTAAGCACTGGTTTATTTGTGCTTACTAGCTAATCTGTAATGACCAACTTCACAATTTTATCAAAGATGTGGTGAAATCCATGCGAAATTGGTCACTACATATTATTAAGTAAACACAAATCAGCTCGTGTTTACCTTGCTTACTGGGTAATCCGCCCCTGCCCCCACCCCAAGTTCTGATTCTGCCCAGATTAACACCCTGGCCACGCCCTCAAATCCAATCATGCCCCTAGCTATGATTCCCCCTTTTTTGCAGAAACTCCACCGAGCCGTCTGCCTGGACCCACCCCTGCATCAGTGAAGACTTTCCTTTACCTTAATAGCCACGCCCACAAACCTGGCTCCGCCCTGACTTCCACACTGGCTTATCACCCTACTGACCCTGATAGTGCCTTCCGTGTTCTAGTTTTCACCCCCTCAGTATTGGCTCCGCCTTTCCAGGCTGCCCACTTTGACCCTGCCACCTCGAGATTGGTCCCTCCAGGCCTACAGCACTATCCTCGAATTGAGAACTGTCGGACCCAATTCCAGGTCCCATGACATGACCCCGCCCCGTGACAGTTACCCTTCCTTCTTGGCGCTACAATTGCTGCTGGAGGAAGTGGTGCGGCTGCGGGGGTCCTCGCGGCGCACCAAGGCGAGGCGCTCTGGTGACAGATAACGGCGGCCACTGCAAAGAGAGAACACAAAGTTGGGGCGGAGCCTGCAAGGCCGGCTGGAGAGCGCTGCGGACCGGCGAGAACCTGCCGGCACCCTCCGCTGCTGGAGTTTGGGCACATGAGTCCCTCCTTCTCTACGCAAACAGCCTCAGTCACCCACAAGGTCTTGGAGAAGGCTGGGGATCCCAGGTTTCCGTGCCTTACCTGCGCCCAGAGGTCGCCTCCTTCTTGGGGGAGGATGGGGACGTGGCATAGCCGCCCACACGCCGCGGGGGTCCCGAGCCATTGAGTGGCGTCCGGGTGGGAAGGCCTTTTAAGAGGTGACACACTGGAAGGATGGGGTTAGAGGGCGGAGCAGTGTGAGTGCGAGGTCCGGAGCTCGGCCCCTTCCCCTCTCCCCCTTCAGTCTAGAGAGAATACCCGAGGCGGTGGTGCCTAGACGCGGGGGTGCCCGACCCTTGGGGGTGCCACGCGCGCGCAGCGTCGCGCCCTGTTCTTCGCACACCCGCAGACGACGCAGCGCGTCCGCCAGCGCCGCTTTTAGGACCGCCAACTCATCTTCCTGCAGCTGCAGCCGCTGCTCCAGTGCCGACACGCGGTCGTCCACCTCCATGCCGCTCGTCCCCGACAAATTGTCATCTGGAAGGCGGGGGAGCTCTGGCTACAGGGAGGACCCAGGAGCTCCAACGCCGGGGGCGTCCCTCCACCTGACCCAGGTCCATGCTGGGGGGCCAGCCACACCCCCTTCCTCTCCAGCAACCCGGGGCTGGGACGCTTGGAGATCAGCCAAGGAAGAGGGCCCCAAGGGGAAGGAAATCCCCACCGCTCTCCAGTCCTTGCCCCACACGACTCTCTCAGTCGCAGCGCCCTACCCATGTGACCTTGGGGAAGTCCCTTCCTTCTAAGATTCAGTGATTCCAGGAGCAAGTCGAAGAATCCTTGATCTGGGTTTACGATTCTGTGACTAAGATGCTAAATATGTATGAGTGATACTAAGATTTGAGAGCTGACACCAACCCACTTCAAGTGACACTGACGTTTTAGAATTTGTCCCCAGCGTTCTCTGACAAATATCAATATTCTCTGACGGCTACTGTTTCTAAGACTTTCCAACTCATAAGATTCTCCGCAGCCCCTCGTCTTCTCACCAAGGGGTTCGACCCCAGAGCCAACCGCAAGGGCGGAACTTCTGCGACCCCTAGCGGCAGACTTGGGACATGCAGGCAGCGCATCACAGACCCAGGAGACCCAAGGAAAGGAAATGCTGACAGGGGTCTGATACTCAAACTCTCTTGCCTAGCCGGGGTTTGCCACCTCTGTCTTCCCTCTTGATTTCGCTTCTGTACCCCGCGCTTCGGATACAGCTTTCCCGCTCCTCTCCACCTCATGGGTGCAGCCAAAATGATTCCCGCACTTCGCCCCACTCCCCTCCTGCATTTTCCCGAGTGGGACCGGGGGAGGACAAAGGTACCCCCCTCCCCCGCCCTCTCCCAGACCACTCATACCCAGACTCATGGCTCGCCACAACCGAGGAGGCCCTGGCTCCCAGCCCGGTAGAAGTTAAGAAGGTGTCATAAGCAGGGACAGGGCGTGGAGGTCGCAGCAGCCATCCCGGCTCCGCAGTGCCACCGCCCATCCCTCCCCTCCCTCCCCCGCGGCCCAATCGCCGTCTGGGCTTCGCCCTCCCTGCCCCCACCAGCGCCTCCCAAGTCTGGAGCCTGGACCTGCATTGGAAGGTGGGGGCCTCCCGAAGTCGAAGGGAGAGAACTGCCCGGACTTGGAACTCAGAAGTGGAGGGGATCTCAGGGTTCTGCTGGCATCACAGTTTGCAAAGGGGAAAACTAAGAACAGAGTTGGAGGGGAGTGTGCAGAGACACGCCCGAGATCACATAGCCAATAGGAGGGGGGCCGAAGAGGGTGTCTAATCACTCGGTTGTGGAGAGCCCCTGCTTAAAAAAACCAAACCCCCTGCCGGGGAGTCATTCCGACTTACAGTAACCCTACAGGACAGAGTACAACTGCCCCATGGGGTTTCCAAGTCTGTAAATCTTTAAGGTGGGTGCGAACCGCCGACCTTTCACTTAGCAGCCAAGCACTTCAACCACTGCACCACCAGGGCTCCCCTCCTTACCTATCTTTAATAATCCTACCAAAAAAAGAAATGGGATCTGTTATGGGAGCAAAACTCTTAGCATGCTTCCTGGCTCATACGTGCTCAATGAATCCAGAGTATAATTAACTGTAATTCTTGCACCTAATGCTCCCTGGGGTCTCTAGGTGGCGAAAACAATTTGCTCTGGGCTGCTAAACGAACGGTTTAGCAGTGGTGCCAAAGAAGAAAGGCCTGGCGAGCTGCTTCTATAAACATTACAGCCAAAAAAAAAAAAAACCTATGAAGCAGTTCTACTCTGTAACACACGGGGTCAGCATGAGTTGGACTCAACGGCAAAGGGTTTGGGTTTTTTGTTGTCGTCAAGTCGATTTGGACTCACAGCAACCCCATGCGACAAAGTAGAATTGCTACACAGGGTTTTCTAGGCTATAAGGTCTCTATGAGTTGGAATCAACTGGGGGCTTACGGAATCTTTTAAAAAATCTTTAGGGAAGCAGATCACCAGGTCTTTCTCCCACAGACCCGCTGGGTGGCTTTGAACCACCAGTCTTTTGGTTAATAGCTGAGCACTTAATCGTTGCGCCGCCAGGGGTGGCGGCAGAGGAGGAAGGGGACCAAGGCCCAGACAGGTGAAGTTACTTGTGCAAGGACACACAGTCATTCTAGGGACAGAACCAGTGCTTGAACCTAGGCTGGCCTCCAGACTGTCTTAGGCACCCTGTCATCCTGCCTTTTACAGTAGAGTGGCAAGGAGGATAAAATTCACATTCTGCGTTCTCTGGCACTGGGGTGTGCACATAGGGAGTGAGCCTCCAAACCCAAAGACTGTCCCTTCTCAGTCCCCCCGGGTGAAATGGAGGTGTTCTCACCTTGACCCTTCAGCCCCCACCCAACAGAAGTTAGGTGCATTCTGATACCTTGGCCTACCTCCCCACCCCTCCCCTGAGATGTCCCAAGCCCTCTGCTCCCTCCTGACCATTTCCCCTCCCTCTGCAGCCCTTTTGCCCTGATTCCAACCCCCACCTCCCACTTCCCCTCCCCTTCTCTGCCTCCAGCTCCTCTCATCTAGGCCTGTCACCAACAATAGCCCTTCTGATAATCAGATCCATTTGTCTAGGGAAAAGGGGTGGGTCCTAATGGGTGGGAGGGGCAGGGCCTGAGGATTTTGGGAGTAGTGGAGGCAAAGTCCTCTGGCTGTCCTACCCAGTCCCACACCCTGCCCACAGCCCATTACCAACCCCCTCTCCCTGCCTGCCTCTGATCTATTTGTCCCTCTGCCAGGGAGAGGGAGGAGGGTCCTAGAAGCGTGAGAGGGGCTAGGGAGGGCAAGGTCCAGGCCGGACTGACCCCTAGGCCTTCCCATCTTTCAAACCCAGGCTCTTGTGGGCTCTGCCACATCTCTGTCTAGCAGAGGTGGGTCCAAGCAGGTGGGAGGTTGGGATCTTGGCTTTGGGGAGCGGAGGCTTTGCTCTGAGGTCAAGGTCTGCTGGGGGGAGCAAGAGGGATCTTCGTCAAGGGACGGGGATGGGGACTTGGAAGAAGGAGGCTGGGGCAGGAGATGAATCTACCCTGGGCGGGGCCAGAATCGGAACTGAGGGAAGGGGTCTCACCGTTGCAGTATTGCAGCAGCGAGGACGTGTCGTAGAGGCCGCAGAAGGCCGGGCCGCGCTCCGCCATCGCCCCGCCACAGCCACCACTGGCCCCCCCGGCCCCAGCCAGGGCCCGGTGCCCCACCTAGGCCCTGCCTCCCGTTGCCATAGCAACGCCCTCCGTTCCAGCATCCCCAGCTCGGCCCGCCCGGCATCAGGCGGCAGGCGCCGGACCTGGCACCCGAGTCATCCCCCAGGATGCCTAGAAAAAGGGGTCGGGACACCCCAGGCCAGGCACCTCCAACACAGTCCTCGGGCCGGGATTGGCTGCGCCGAGATGCCCCTTGGTACTGTCTGGCCCCGCCCACAAGCGGCGCTTCTTCTCTCTGGACCCTCGCCGGTTCATGACCAATGAGAGCCTGTCGCGCACGTCCCTCCACCAATAGAGATGCAGAGGGTTTGGAAGGGGCAGGGCCTTCTCTGCTTTTCAGCCTGAGGCGTAGCCCCCGGCTCTGGGAGGAGGATGAGGTGGAAGAAGACACTCCCATATCCCCCAAACCTCTTCGCTAACCATTTATTGGATTCCCCAAAAACCCCCTTGCAAGACCAGGGACCGACCCTAAAGCCTCGAAGCCACGCGGATATCCACTAGCTCCGCCCATAAAGTCTTATTCTAGCCCAGTCCGTAGAGCCCTTTTTTATTAGATCTAGACCCGCCTCCACGGCTCTTAGCTCCACCCCCAGAATCCTGCCGGAGCCGACGTTCTATTCCCGCCCCCCAGAGCCTTTAGCCTAGCCCTCTTTAGGTCTGAAGACTGTAGTACTTTGCTCAGTTCACAGAGCCCTTGACCCGGCCTTCTTATAGGATTAGCTCCGTCCCAGGAGTTTAGACCCCCCCTCCCCCTCCCCTCAAGTCTGTTAATCCCTCCCTAACCTTTCCTTCCACATTCCTAGCTGTGCCCTCTGGCCCTTAACTCCGCCCTTAGAGCCCTCGTTTCCCACAACCGTATTATCCAGTCCGGGTTTTGGCATAGGCCCAGCCATGAGGCGAAGACCGGCTGGTGGTGTCAGTCGGAGCTGGCTCCGAAGTCGGGGGAGGAGGGGAGGGCAGAAAACCTGATAATGGATTTGAAGAAGACTGGCCCGCCTTCCCCAACTCCCCACTGAGGGTCCCCATACCATGAAATGAGCCATACCATGTTTACCAGACGAGAGAAGCGGGGCCAAGAGGAAAGAGATTTGCCTCTGGACACCAGGGAGACGGTAGAAAACAGGGCTTTGGAACCATACTTAACTGGTTCGAATCCTGACGCCACCACTTCTGGCTGTGTGACCCTGAGCCTCTTAAAAGGAAGGGGGAGGTTGTGTCATAACCGTGCCTATCTCTTTCACTAAGGAGCCCTGGTGGCCCAACGGTTAAGCGTTTGGCTACTAGCCAAAAGGTTGGCGGTTCAAACCCACCGGTGGCTCCACGGGAGAAAGAACTGGCGTTCTGCTCCCATAAAGATTACAGCCTTGGAAAACCTATGGGGCAATTCTACTCTGTCCTATTGGGTCGCGATGAGACAGCAACGGGTTTGTTTGGTTTATTATGCGCCAAGCTCTGTTCTAGGTGCTGAAGTTACAGTAACAATCAAGTCAGCCCCAGAGTTTGCTCTCGCTGTCTTACAGTCCTGGTGGCACTCACGTCACTAGTGGGGTGAGGGCGTGCGGATGGCACCTGGTGACACTGTCGGAGGGGGTGACACCAAAATGTCTGTCTATAAGTTTTTCGTACAGTATTTCAGTAGAATTTATGTTTTATAAAAATATCCCTGGAGTTAATTATAACAACAAAAATATTTTTCAAAAGTCCAGCTCACAAAAAACAAAAAACAAAAACCTCATTGCTGTATAGTCTATTCCGACTCATAGTGACCCTATGGGACAGAGTAGAACTGCCCCATAGGATTTCCAAGGAGCGGCTGGTGGATTCAAACTGCCGACGTTTTGGTTAGCAGC